AAATAAATAAATATTTAAAAAATTAAAAATTCAAAAAACCAAAAAAACACACCTCTATAGGCTCTTAGACTCCTTATTTAAGGACTGTTTTTGGTTTTTTTTTTTGGTCTTTCTGAGACAGGGCCTCACTATGCCATTCAAGCTGGCCTTCAGTTCACTTTGTAGCCCAGGCTGGTCTCAAACTCACAACAACCCTCCTGCCTCAGCCTCCCCAGTGCTGGGACTACAGGCTACTGCCCCCACGCCTGGCCCCTTGAGGACTCTTAAAAGTCTAAATATTTTAAGCACCCCCTCCACATAAATATGCAAATAGTACTTTCAATATCTGTTGATCAGAAATTGTCTAAGGCCAAAAATATAACTAAGCATCTAATAATACTCTTTCTGGTCTGGAATGTAAATGACCATCACAACACCTAAGGTGCACTGTGCCCAGTCCCTCAGGATGGGGCCCAGGAGCTAGAACCCCTACTGGAGGGAGTCCAGGAGAACTAATGAGAAGACAGATCCTGCAGTAGGAACAATAAGCAAATACTAGCATTTTTTAAAATTATTAAAATAACTCTTTTTTTTTTCAAAATTGTTTTGGAGAAGTATAACATAAGTTTATAAAGCCATCATTTTTATGCATTGCATTTATACTTTTAAAAAATAGCTAGAACACTGTATATATTATTTTAAAAGTAGTCATTCAAATTTTAGGACATAAACCAAGAAGATTCCTATAAAAGAGGCAAACCAATCATTACACAAAACTTTCTTTTAACTTATCTGAGGTAAACTAGTAGTACAAATGCAACAAGTCAGCATATATATTATAATATTTTTGAAACAACAACGTGTAATTTGGGGAACTGTATGAACTTACCAAAGGAAACCTCAAAGCACTTTGCTCACTCAGGGCCTCCTGAGGTAGGGTATCCCCAGGAACAGTCTTCTAGCCATAAAGATAGAGATGGGGCCAGGGAGATGGCTCAGTACAATAACCGCTTGCCTAGCAAGCTTAGGGGCCTGAGTTCAATCCCCGGTTCCACAAAAAAACAAAACAAAACAAAAAAACATAAAGATAGAGGCTGCTGCAGCCATGGTCAAAGGGGCCCCAGCTTTTGCTGAAACTTATGTCCTATCTTCTTGTCCTTCATATGATTTTGGTTTTACAGGCATGCAGAATGTAAGAGTTATGGGATTGTGGAGGATTCCACCTAGATATCAAATAAAATTCTGAGAGGCTGTAGGATGTGAGCCCAAGAGAGAGACGTATATATTCAGTGGAGTAAACTCTGTATATGCCTCTCTGTTCTTTCAGTGATAGCTTCCTGGATGAGTCACAGCCATTGTTTGACCAAGTTGTTTTCTGTGAAAGATTGGGAAGCTTTTCACTCCTGGTGACTCTCCTTTGGCACACTGTGGTGTCTCCATCTCCAAGGGCTGGACAACCTCTGGTCAGGATGTCATATAACTGCCCAGAGTTCTAGGATGTCATAGAAAAGGTTCCTTCTTATCCTGGGTCCTCGTAGACTTTAGAGAGTCAGGGCCAAAATATTGGCTGTCCTCTTAGCCCATCTATATTTTTAGTTGTTTTTTTTTTTTTCCACTCTCAAATCTCAGTTGTTGAACATCCAAAAGAGAAGACATTACATTGTAATTAATTAATGACATTACTTTGTAACAACTGTGGATTTAGTTATTAAAAATTTTATCTGAATATAAAGCCCCTTGAATACTATCATTTTGATCCTTAACTTGCTTGCTTTCCAAGAATGTATCCCACAAAAAGATATACAGGGGCTGGGCATGGTGGCGCAGGCCTGTAATCCCAGCACCTGGGAGGCTGAGGCAGGAGAATCACCATGAATTTGAGACCAACCTGGGCTACATCGTATGATGCCAGCCTGAACTGTAGCATGAAACCCTGTCTCGAAAGGATAAAAAAAATACACAGGAAGTCTCCCTCCTACACTGCCCCCCATCTGCCAGCTTCCCACTGCCACTGTCACCCAATAGGACCCATCACAGCTGTTCATTTCTTATGTATGCTTTATGCATAAACATGCAAATACAAATATGTGGGTTTTTTGGGGTTTTTTTCTGCAGAACTAGGGATTGAACTCAGGCCCTTGCGCTTGCCAGGGAAGCGCTTATTCTACTGAGCCATCTCCCCAGCTCAGTAGAATTTTTTTAAATCACAAACAGCAATCATATACTTATTTTTCTTGGGTACATCACAGAGATCTTTATCAGGACAAGCTGAGTTTTTTTTATTGTTGGGGGGGTTTGCAGTACTAAGAACTAAACCTAGTAGTGCCTTTACACAGAACCAAATTTCCAGCACTTTAATTTTTTTTTTTTTTTTTTTTTTTTTTGACACAGGGTCTCTCTGAATTGCTCAGGTGGACTCAAATCTGTGATCTTCCTGCCTTAGCCTTCCAGAGTGCTGCACTCACAGACATATGTCCATACCTGGCCTCTTTGTTCTTTTGTATAGCTGCATAGTATTCCATTGTTTATACACATCATTGATTAATAAAACCCCTACTGATATTTGGGTTGAAATAAATTACCTTTATATTCTTTTTTTTTTTTCCTTTCAAAACAAGGTGTTGCTGCATAGTTCAGGCAGGCCATGAACTCAATATGTAATCCAGGCTGGCCTCAAGCTTGCAATTCTCCTGCCTTAGCCTCCCAAGTACTAAGATTACAAGTGTGTACCACCAAGCCCAGCTCCTTCATATTCTTCATAGCAAACTATATATTCACAGCACTATTTGATCTTTTTTTTTTTTTTGTGGTAACAGGGATCAAACTCAGGACCTTACCCTTGGCAAGCAGGTGCTTATGCCACTGAGCTGTCTCCCTATTCACAGTAGTATTAATTAATCCAAAATGTTGGGAAATCTGTCTTACACATAGAAAAATGCCTCAGGAATACCCTGCAGGGTGCTGCAGCCACACAGCAGCTGCAGAGCCCTTGCCCAAAACCCAGAAGGGCCTGGGCTCCACTTACGGCAGAGGGAGAGCCCTCCACAGGGGCTGACACACTGGGTCAGCCTGAGGAGTTTAAACAATTAACTGAGAGTGTGGGCGGGCGGGCAGGGGCCTCACTGTGCCGGCACCCTCATCCCACCCTCATCCGGAGCAAGGAGGGCAGGGAGAGGGTGTGAGCGCTACGCCCCCCCAGGGAGGGGAGCCTGCTTACAGTGTAAGGGAAGAAGACACGCTTGCTCCTCTTTTCTGCCCTTGGGCTTCTGCTGTCTTCTGCTGCCTTGAGCTGCTGCCCCGGGGCCATACCACCCTGCCTTGGAGCCAGCTGATTGCAGACTTTTTTAATTTTAGGCTTCCAGTATTTTGTCTCAGCAAGGAGGGAAAAGGAGCCAAGACTTGAGCAAACACAGGCCCAAAGATGGTGAAAGCAACAGGGCCGGCTGACAGCAGCCACTCTCAGCTGCATGGGCAGGAGAGGACAGGCTTCGCTGCCCGCTCCCCTTTAACTGGCTATCTTAATGGGGCCTGCATGTAACTCAAAGGAAACAGACTGGGAGGTGAGAGCGTAGGCCTCATCACTTCCTGGCTAATTCCCAGCAAGCCACAAAACTCTGGTAGCTTTAGAGTCCTCATTTGTAAAACAAAGATAACAGTACTGTAACCGCAAGGGTTACAGAAGATGAATACGTGGAAATACTCTGTTCATCATGAAGCGTAAAATGTGGTACAAATTGCTATATTGCTGTTTTGGTTCCCATCTGCTGAACAGTTTAGAAGTTACACACACACACACACACACACACACACACACACACACACTCTTACCAATAAGAGTCGCCAAAGAGCAATGAGGTACTGTCGGTGTGAACCTGATAACAACCAGATAGTCCTCTTCGTCTAGCTCCTGAACCTGCACACAGCTCTCCGTTACCACTTCCAGTTCTTCCAGGGTATTGGGCTTCTCTGGGTCCCGGATGGTTCGAATCAAATCTGAAGCACGCCAAAGAGAAGGCATTAGTTGCAACACGGATAAGCGCAATGAAGATGGCTCTGCTAATCATAATCTAAGCACTGACTTTTCTTTAAGCAAATACTACAGCAACTTCTACTACTGGTTTCTTTTGCAGGGGGTGGGGGTGGAAGGACATGGAGACTGAACCTCAAAGGGCACTGGCCTACATCCCCAGCCCTTTCTATTTTTAAAATTTTCCAGCAGGTTCTTGGTAAGTGCCCAGGCTGGCCTTAAAACTTGAATTATTGGGGCCGGGGAGGTGGCTCAGTAGGATAAGCGCTTGACTGGCAAACACAAGGATCTGAGTTCAATCCCCAGTTCCGAAAAAAAAAAAAAAAAAAAAAAAAAAAAAACTTGAATTATCCTGCCTGTGCCTCCCTATTAAGTGGAATTACAAGTGGATGTCTACCTGTTTTCTT